CCCCAAAACCCCAAAACCCCAAAACCCCAAAACCCCTTCAATAATTTAATTATTTATTATTTATTTTGAACATGTAGAGTTAATATCCTCTGAAAAGTTAAGGGTAAAACCTATTTCTTTTGTAAAATAGATATCTTTGATCCCACAACTCTGCTGTTCTTGATTGGAGTGCTGGGAGCAAATTTAGCAACAATAGATCTCTGATTTGATAAAAGAACTTTCTTAGATTTAAGTATGGACTTAAACAAGCTTCCCTTCTTAGTTTTACATCCATTCCCTGTTTTAGAGCTGTTGTAGGTCTCAATAAGAGTTGATATGTTAAGCCTCTCACTCCGATCATAAGCAACTGCGTTTATTACAGATGGAGAAGAATCTCTTCTAATAACAGAGATTAATTTCAGAGGATTATAGAATTAAGATACATAAATTTGAGTGCTTACAGTTGATAGAATGATGCTTTTCAATCATTCCTTGCAAATCCTAAATTATAAAGATCAGTTTTTTAAATAAATATAAACTTACTTTTAGGGGAAGATTTTGAATATAGTGCTGCATATTTCTTCATAAATTTGTTGATTTCTAAAGAAGTTAAGAAAATTTATAATCAAAACTAAATGTACTAAATAACGCTTCTTGAATTTTTGTAGTCAAGTTTTTCCTTTGCTCGCTCTTTTCAGACTCGATCACTGGTTTGCTACTTTTCTCGACACGATTGCTATTGCTTCGGAACCTAAGAAAAACAAATCACCAAAATTACTTTGAAATATGATTTGGAGTCAGTTTTCTTTTATTAAAATAGCTCGGCCTTGTAGCATTAGGGTGAGGTGTTCTCGATGTTGATTCTCTCTATATATTATATTAAACAGTACATTCTTGATCATCTCTCTATCAATAACTAAATTAATGCTACTCTTGAATGGATAGTGAGTTGGGTCATGGGAATTATGTATCTGAAACGAAGAACTTTTCTTTCGTCCTAAATAATAAGACGATAAATCCACTTGTAATTTTGATACTGCTGGGTCCTATAAAAACATCGAGTCCGGTTCGAGTTTTATCATGCTCTTGTGTCTTAAATCATCATTCTTTCTCTTTCTTTTAGGCTTATGTAGGCGAAATTTTGGAGATGGCGATAATTTCATACTTCGAATATGAATTCCTAATCCATCTGAGTTGGCACCTGAGGATTTTAACAAGAATTACTTTTGTTGGACCGGTAAATGTGCTGATTTTTGAAAGAACTACTTATTCTACAAGAATTAGAGATGAATCTTTGAAGAGGTTACATACAGTGAGTAATACTTTTGAAGAGATTCCATATTCAGCTTAAAATATATTCAACATATTGAAAATCTTTTGGGGTTTTGGGGTTTTGGGGTTTTGGGG